ATCTAACAAAATGAAATTCAATGGTGAAAAAAGTAAGGTTCTACATTTAGGCAAAAACCAAATGTACAGGTAGAGTATAGGAGGTATCTTGCTCAATAGTAGTAACTATGAGAGGGATTATTATTATTATTATTATTATTATTATTATTATTATTATTATTATTATTATTATTATTATTATTATTATTATTATTATTATTATTATTATTATTAATATAATAATATAATAGAGTTTGAAATTTGGACAGAAAATTGAAAAAAGACACATTTCCAGAGGCAAAGTATGGACCAGACAATGTTGAATTATTGGGATCAAATGTAAGAGCTAAATTTCTACAATTAAAAAGATGAGGTCTACCAGTAAGATTTGAACTGAAGACATACAATCAGGTATACCGAAATAAACAGGGTTTTGTGTGCAAATTTATATACAGTACAGCTTTAAGTGCATAATCTGTTTTTCTTCCAAAAGAATACTAATCTAATTTTTAAAAATACATTTTAGAAGTAGGAAAGGTGGAAGAGAGGGAAAGAAATATAACAATTTCGTGATATAGTAATATTTTAAAAGCCTAAATATACATCTGTATGCCACATTGCAACCCACATTATGAAAGCACACACCATGTGACTCCAGTCTGGTCATAGAGCAGCCCACCCTTTCCTGTAATCCCTAATCTCTCACTGGCAGTCTCTGCTCCTCTCTCCATTTACTATTCAGCTCATGCCATCAGGCTGCGCAGAAGCCAGTCATATGTCTACTCATATTGCTTATTGTATGAATAAGCAGGACAGGCTGCCTAGAAAGAGAAGCAAAAAGAAACATTGCCAGTCCTATCCAACATGGATGAAGAGAGATAAGGCTTCTGAGCTGGCCACAGTCATTTACTCTGCTTTCTCTAGCACCACTAACATTCTCCTATACAACCATGCAAGTTGATATGCAATTACAGAGAGAAAAACTGATGTAGAACAAGAAAAAAGAATGGATTTTTATTGCAGCTGCCAAAAGATCACTAACCAATTTCATGGCCAACTTCTCATCTCCAGAAAGAGGACTATCCATTTTGTGCAGGTCAAGAGTGTAGCCCAGTGGTGGCGAACCTATGGCACAGGTGCCAGAGGTGGCACTCAGAGTCCTCTCTGTGGGCGTGGGCGCCATCGCCCCAGTCCTAGGCCTTCAGCTGGGTTTTATAAAACCTTTTCGCCACCGTGTAAAAAAAAAAAGGTTCAATCAATCAGTTCAACTTCTCGCGGGAAAAAAAAAGATCTTGCAAAGTTGGAATTGATTGATTGAACTTTTTAGTCCCACCCAGTCTGCCGTTACCACTGCAACCACGCCCACCCAATGGGCCACACCCACCTAATGGGCCACACCCATCCGGCACCTGACGATGCATAAGTGGGGTTTGGATTGCAGTTTGAGCACTCAGTCTCTAAAAGGTTCGCCATCACTGGTGTAGCCTATTCTGGTCTCATTCCCAATTCTGAATCTGAAGCAGCAATCAGGTAAAAATGGATCTCCAGTCCCCATCCCATTATTTAGTACTAGAAAAAATATAAATATCTTAAGAGCGTACAATTGTTTTTATTCAAACAGAAAAATTAATCCATCAATGATAGATGAATAATACAAAATTTTGCTGAAATCAGTGCACTGGATTTCAGGTTACACAGTCTTCTGATCATAGTAACCACTTGTACAACTGTCAGTAATTGCATAATTGAGCTTTGCTATTACTCTCCACCTCCATGATCTTCCTGGTGATACTATACTATTAACACAGTGAATAATAGAGTAGAAGATTATACTAAAGATTATCAAGTCCAACCCCTGCTTAGTGCTGGATCCAATAGAGTATCACTGACAGATAACTGTTAAGTCTCTGTCTGAAGATCTCCAGTAACAAAGAATTCACTGTTTCATGTGACAACATGTTCTCCTGGCTGACAGCTCATACACTCATGAAACCCTCTCTGATGTCTAATCTGAAACTTATTTCTTGTAGTTTTAACCCATTGGTTCTGGTTGTGTCCTTTGGAGCAGTGGAGAGTAAGTCCACTCTCTCTCTTCAGTGTGACAATTCTTCAGATATTAGAAATAGTTATCATATCTCCTCTCAGTTGTTTTTTCTGTAGGCTAATCATATTTACATCCACTATTTGTTCCAAATAAGGCTTGATTTCTAGTCTCTACCATCATGGCAGCCCTGTTCTGAACTTCCTTCTTCTGTTATGCCCTTTTTGAACTGTGGTGCCCAAAACAGGACAAAGTGCAGGTAGTCCTCTAGCTACTACCATTCGTTTAATGACTGTTCAAAGTTATGATGGCCTCATAAATATGATTTACAACCTGTCCTCAGAGTTACAAGCATCATGCCACTTCACGGGCACGTGATCACAAGGTTTCCCTCCAAGGCTGAAGTGAAGCCATTAACAAGACCTTTTTCGGTGCAGAGATTCGGACCCTTGTGAGCCCTTCTAATGGTAGCACCATCTAGACTTTGTCCAGCTGTGCTATGTATTACTACCTGTAAGTACCATCAAAATGAAATGGAGGAATATCATTTAGAAGGCCAAAGACAGGAAAACTGACCTACAGATACATTTTTATTATTTTCTGCAGTAAAAAAATAAATAAATAATTATTTGTAGGAAGGAGACATACATTAAGGAGGAGGATAAAGTTAAGGAATAATGGAAATGAGGGTGAATTGAAAAATAAATAAATAAATAATTCATTTACAAGAGATAACATTAACATGCTCAGAACTGCTCAGAAATAAGAGTATGGATGACATTGAAATATAATTGTTGTAACTCAACAAATATATATGAGCCTATCTTTCTAGAAAGCCTATCCAGAAGATTGGAATTAGAGCAATCAGAAGAGTCACTCAGAGTCAAGTAAACACCTATTAATTTCTACATCTAATTGTTGGCCTTCTCCATCACCTCCTCCTCCTAATGTTTTTCTTGAGAAAATCTTTCAGTGTTGTTTTTTACTCCTTTTTTGCAAATGATATCATCCAGCATTGTTAATATTAAATAAATTGATAATCCTCATCAAAGTAGGGACCAGTTGTGTAATACCTCCAGAAAAGCATGCAAATTTTGCTGGATATTTATTTGCTCAAAGAATTAAAAGTAAAAACGGCAATGGGTGGCAAAGGAATTCTGCTCTAGAAAATGATAGTTGATTTGGGGGGGGGAGTTTCCCCCTACACAAAGGTAGCTGGTAAAAATTCTTAACATGCAAACACATTCACACTTACACACATACCTCAAATCAAACCAAACCTGGCCCATTTCCAACTAGGGTAGTAATCACACGTTGCAGATACTAAATGTCTGCTGTGACTGCAGCTAAATAAACCTTTGGCCTTCTGTCCCAATCTTACACATAATTCCATTCTTCAACCTCCTTTTCTGGCAATGCCCTGCATGGTCCGAGGCATTTCTCTTCCTTAAGATAGTATTCCAAGCCTAAAGATTTGCTAAACATACCAGTTTAAGAAATCTGTCATCATTACTTCAGCAAGCCTGAATTAATTTTGATTTTTCTGTTGCTTTGGAACATTATAGTGTCTAAATACAGTGTCAATAGATCTGGATAGCATCATGATAACAGAAGAATGTTTTGCTGACAGCTCAGAAACACAGCATGGTGCTAAGTTATTATTAGTCTGACATCCATCTGCTCTCTTCCCCCTTATACAGGGATTCAGATGGCCTATTAATCTGTACTCTTTTTATTTTAGTGTATTTAATATTTTGCTTAGACCTTAACCAAACCCTTGGCTCAAAGTTTCCATTTTGTTCTAGAAAGGCACTGCTAGCAAATTATAATTGTTTTTATATGTGTGCTTCTGATTAAATTGGGAGAAAGGGCTGCTCCCTCTGTTAATTAGAATGAAGGGAATTTCTTAGAATGATGCCAGTCTTTGACAATGCCTCTCTGTTTGCATCACTTCATCTTCCCAGTAAACATTTCAATTGGTTAATCCTAAAAAGAGTCTAAAATGTCCTTTGCCATCTGCAGAGCACAAGACTAACCAAAGAGAGAATATTGAAGCCAATGGAATACCCATTCATCACAGCCCTTCCCTCTAGAAGGAAAGAGATTTAGGCTAAAGCAATGTATAGCTCTGGAAACAGAGTCTGGGAGAACTGACACCCTGATTAAAGGCACTATCCTGCATTATATGTTACCCAGTTGCTTTCTTGAAACACACACTGCATTAAGAGAAAAGTTAAAAAGAAACCGTAAGTTAGCCAGGCCATTATACCAAGCCACAAGCTAGAAAATAATCTGATGAAATAACCACTGATAGACGTCAACCTTGAATGAAATCTTGGATTCTCATCCGTTGTTTGCAGATGTCAGAATTATACATCTTTTGCCAGTTTGAACAATTTCTGTACATATGTTAGGAACACAGACAGAAATAGCAGAAGCAGCAACAGACTGAAAGAAACTACATTAAGTGTTTAAGGAATTTGCAGAAATAGGTGATTTCTCTCCTAGAAATGTAGTTACTAACATACATATTTTGTGAGAGAGGTTTACTAAACTGTCATCTATCAAAACAATGATCTTATATTTTGACTCATATAGTGAGCCATTTAGAAATCCACTGTGGTTTCCCAACATATTCCTGTCTGCAGTTATTTCCTGCACTGATTGGGGCTTGAATCTGAATGACATCACAACACTGAAGCTTTGTCAGAACAAACCACAGATGGATATTTGGTGCTCCAGTATCTAGTCAAACCTTCCACAACTTAATGATATTCATTAATGTTGGGCTTGAAAATACAAAGTCCAGGTTGGTATTGTCTTTCAAATATCAAACTCACTGGACAGCTTTGAACAACTCACTCCTTCTCAGCCTAACTACTGCATGGTCCTTTCTATGATGCTGGATCTTAAGCCCTTGAAAGAAAAATTGTAAATAAAAATGTTTAAGTAACGGTCCCCCCCCCCCCAATGTACTTACCTCTCTAAGCTTGTCCATCTCATTCTGTAACACTTGCTTAGCCAAATCACTCTCAATGAGCCGTTGGCGCAAGTCTTCATTCTCCTCCTCCAGTTTAATCCGTTTTTTCTCCACTGCTTCAAGTTCATTATGGAGACGCGCAGAGACATCTTTGGCTACCTACAGACACAGTCAAATACAGTGCAAGCCTCAGTCCTCAGTTCTGATACACAACATACAGGTACAAGTTAATCAACAATGTATGCACCAATACAGACTTGGGGTTTTAGGTATTTTACATATATTAACAAAAAGCAACCACTAAAACAGGAAACATACAAGTGAGTCATGCCTGTGAATAATGTGCCAAGGATTTGTGTGTCTTACCAACAGAGGAATATATGAGCTATGCCTATATTAATTTTACAGATCATGTCTGCAGTTAGAGGAAATATGGAGGGGAAATAGAGTTATTTTCACATCCTCTTGGTGTCTCCTTCTTTGCAATAAGCATGCATGTTCAATGCATGACTTTTGTTATGCCCTTTTGCACTGCTGAAGAAAATTACAGCTTTTGTAGAGTAGACCTTCCACTCACAATGATGCATAAACAGCGCCTCTTCTGGTTGCATATATATAACTGTCATACTTAAAGCATGTTTTATAAGCTGCATCAGTATGTTTCAGATACATACATCAGCAGGTTTTATAAACAGCTCTGAATATGAATAATAGGGAATCTAGCCACAAATTCCTATTTTCAATATATGAAAGCTTTCCCAAGTTTATCTCTTCCTATGTCTTACAGTCCACAGATAGAATGGGAATCAAACTGATAGTGCTATTATTTTGTGAAATTTGATTGATTCATAATCAGAAATCTTTAAAAAAAGAATAAGGCATGAAGAACATGAACTAAAGGTTCATGTGTCATAGAGAAGATACAGATTGATTCACAATCACTGATATGAACAGAGTAATGGCCAGCATACAGATTTTAGAAGTTTTGGCATTGAATACTCCAACTACAAGTACGGTACTACTACAATTCTCTGTTTTGAACATAGAACCCAATGACCAAAATAGTAGCTTAAATTGACCCTTAATTGAGAGTGATTGGCTCGTTGGGGAACTTTTCTCAACTAAGTCTCTGTCTTCTCTAATGAGAGGCTGAGATTCAGGAGAAAAGAAGTTAGTAGTTTCTTTGTTCTTGCATGTTCTGACCAGGAGCCCTTGCAGGAAGCAGACCCTTGAAGAAGAGATTTCATGTTACTTGGACTTAAAATCTAGAAAACCTATAAGAAAGGAATCAATAAGGAAAATCTGGCAGGAAACATTTAGTCAGGTATGGATTTATTTGTATTTCTGTGCAATGCTGCATACTGGATTTTGCATATATACTTTTGTGTTTGTTCCTGTCCTCTATATCCGTATTTGCTTTAAAATGCAGATCTCACCTTTGTGTAATTTGTGGCAGCTAAACTATTCTCTCAAATCTCTACCATGCTGCCTTTAATAAATAAAAATCATTTTTTTCCTCTGTTACCCCAGGGTTGGAGTTGTAATCTAGCACCATGCACTCAAAGTCCCTTGGCCTTGGATTTGAAGCCACTCATTTAAAATTTTATTCCTGGGAAAGGGAGATTTCCTTTTCTATCACATCCAGATTCCAGGTGAGGGCAGGGGAATCTACCCATTCAAGAGGAGGCTGGGGCACTATAACTTCTGTGTTTCCCTGAAAATAAGACCCGGTCTTTCTTTCTCACTCACTCACTCACTCATTGATTGTCTTCAAAAGAGGCATCAGGTCTTATTGTCGGGGAGTGTCTTTTCCACAGTCTCACCTCACGGCGGTCTCACCAGGAGGCCCACTTCTTCTGCGGCCAAAGTAAATGCCTCTGCAGCTGAGAATGGAGCTCCGCATTGATGCGCACGGCACTCCCCGACCTGCATTTCGCTGTCAGAGGCCTTAAATGCAGGCCAGAGGGTGCAGAAGAACTGGGTTGGCAAGGCGAGGCAGGTATCGATTCATGGGAGGCCTGGCTGCAATGGTAAGTGGATGCGGGGCATGTGGGGCAGTTTTCCCCCCCCACCCCCGCTCTAGCTTGATTTTTAGGCATGCGCCTCGCCCCAAAACTAGGGCTTATTTTTGGGATAGGACTTATATTAGGCCCACCCCCCAAAATCAAGCTAGGGCTTATTTTGGGGGTAGGGCTTACTTTCGGGGAAACACAGTACTTGCCTGCAAAAACAACTCCTTAAATGCCCCAGGAGTAAGGAAGAAGGATCTGACCAAGGGCAAATTATGGAACTAAGGGAACTGGATGAATGCTAATGTGTATGTTAATGATACCACTTTCCTACTCTTGTTACATTACATTAAGTGGAAAAAGTCATCCTAATGCTAATCCTAAAAGGGGGGAAAAGTACACTAATTTGAATCTGCTGATCATCAACAGAACCTCTGTCCATCTAATATTCCTGACCCTAAAATGTGAGAACCGTGGTAGAGTTATTTCCTTCATCTAAGGAATTATAGGATGTCTCAATAGAGGTCATCCCCTTAATTCTCTAGATATCTCTGAAGCAGCTTGGTGTTGTAGTCAAGAAGCTGAATTAAAACTAGAGAGATTCAAGTTCAAATTCACCCTTAGCCAAATTCACTCGATAACTTTAGGCCATCTCTTAGTTTCAACCCAGCTTATCTTTCTCTCATTGTAGGAGTAAAATGAAAAGACATTCCCATGCCCTGAGCTCTTGGAGAAAAGATGGGATATAAATATAATAAATAATATATTTCCACACCCACCAAGAAGCAGCACAGTGTGTCATCTCTGCTGAATGTTCACAAACATTTTTGGCACATCTCACATATTGTGTTTTGGCCACTGTGGATAGCTAGTGTTTGAATTCTTCAGCAATAACATAAGCACAATGCAGACTCTCTGATAATTAAGGGCATAGATGTTATTTTTTTCACTTTGCAGAGAAAGAAAAGACACTCCTCACTGAGAAAGAAGAAATTAACTTTATCCTCTCCACAAAAAATATTTTTAGTGAAAGCAAGAGGCAGAAGGAACAGATGGTAAAATTTCAGAGTTTATTCTCAAGATTCTTAGATCCTGGTCTCAATGAAGAATACTGCCAATAAAGCAGGAAACCACTGCAGGGAGCCTAGGAAACACCACTGAGCCCATAAGTCACATTGGTTGCATCAGCCAAGCTGCCAACCAAAGCTGGGATGGGTTTTCCCCCCCTATGGCAATGACTGCTGCCTTCTGTCCCTCCTGGTTCCCACTCCATCTATCTGTACAACTTCCAAAATTATTTCTGAGTTTGGATTGTCTCTGTTTTATTTTTATCCTTTCTATGCATCCTTTAAATGGAGTGTTCATATTTTTCTTCTTTTTCAAGTACCAAATTATATCAGATTAAGCACTGACTTCATTTTAATGCAATTTATAGAAACATTGAGTAGTTTTCTTCAATACTGGAGTAATAAGGTTCAATATCACTTTTTGTTAGGAGTGACAGAAATACATTCTTACTGGTAGGATTACAACTGACAAATATTATAGCAATCCTGCCATTTTACCTGATTAATGCTAATGATGGGTATTGCATCCACTGCATGGATTATGTATACTGATTGTCAGTTTTATTCCATAATTTATTTGTACTTTTTATTATTATTTTATTTATGGGATTTCCAACTCTGGGCAACTTATAACTAGCTTATTAAAAGGAAAAAATGCAACAAATCAAAGAGCAAAGTACAAAAAGCAAAACAAAACAAAAAAGGGGGCTCCATGATCAACCTGTTCCTAAGGCCTGGAAGAACAAGTTAAGTCTTCACTAATTTCCTGAACCATATACAGGTGGACGTCATATGAAACTTTTGGGAGGGGACATTCCAGAAGGCAAGAATTACCTCCCATCGGCCGGTACGCTCCACCAGAGTGGGTCTCCTCAGGGTGGCGTCAGCCAGACAGTGCCGGCTGGCGACCCCCAGGGGGAGGGCCTTCTCGGTGGGAGCTCCCACCCTATGGAACGAACTACCCCCAGAGATCAGGGTGATCCCTGATCTCCTTTCCTTCCGCCGCGCCCTCAAGACATGGCTATTTAAGCTAGCAGGACTGGCCTAAGGGGTAATTTTAGTTGGGTTTTAAAATAATTTTTAAAATAACAAAGGCCAAATTAATATTTCCTTTTAATTATGTTTTTAATGGTAGTAGTTTTGTATTTGTTTTTATTAGGCTGTTAGCCGCCCTGAGTCCGCAAGGAGAAGGGCGGGGTAAAAATATAATTAAATAAATAAATAAATAAATAAATAAATAAATAAATAATGTAGAGACAATTAATTGGTCCCACAAGATGACAGTTGTTGGGCTACTATATTCTGTCTCCATGAACTCATATTGCTGAGATCTGATAGGGATAGATTCAGGAAGTATTTCTGAGGCATCACTCAAAAGGAGAAATTTGTAAAATTTCAAAACTGTGATTATCTCTCCCAGATTTCGTGGCAAATCCACTTTGTTTGTCAGTTTTCTCTGATTAGATAGAGCTGTAAAAGTTTTCCTAATGACAGTTTCAAGGGAATTAGAAAGGTAGTCCGCTATTTTTACTAGGTCAGCCCCCAAACCCTATGGGCTGTCTCGCAGGGCCTCCTTCTTAAAAGAAGGAGAAGAAGAATAGGAAAATAGTATGCTTGGAATATAGTACAAGCACAGAAGTTGAAGAAGTCCTCTGTATTTAAAGTGCAATGTCTTGAATAAGGTCGTCAGATTAAAAGCAAATATCTTCCAGTGAAGACATTAGTGGAGGATTATTGCACCATAACAGGTGGGAAGAAGAAAGGATCCGGCAGAGAAAAAAGAGCCTACCATGGCTCTGCAGCTGATGGAGAAGAAATTGGTCTGTACTTCACCCTCTGCAGTTATTTGTACAAATTCCATAGTCACATCCTGATCATGAGAACTGAAAATTGAGCTAGTAGAGGGGTAAATCAAATGATAACTATTTCCATAGAATCAGCTTAGTATGAAACTCTAGCAATACCAAAGGATGGGGGTTGTTCCACTTATTTCCTGTTTCTTCAAGCAGAACATTTGATCACAGTGAAAGCTGAGACAACCAGAAGGCAGCTGTTACAAGCTCTAGGGAAAGAGAAAGGGGGAAAATGCAGCCAGACAAACATAGGACATTATCCACCCATGTTCTACTCTGAAAAGAACCATCCCATGGATTGGCCATTATGGGCAAAACAAAAGGTTTTATGGAGAAAATAGCACATTTTAAATCCTAGATGTTGTTTCCAAATGCAAGATATTCCAACAGGCTTACATAAATACTAAAATCTGTAATCACTAGTTGTAGCTAATAAAAAATTTGACACCTCTACATTTCTAGCATTTTCAAAAACCTCAATTAGATATATTACAAATGAGATTATAATTTGCTTTTATATCACTTTTAGTGGGTATAGAATGAACTAACACATTCATATTTCAAACATCAACTACATTTTTTCTGATGTTTCTACCTTTTAATTGTGACACTCTTAAATCTCTCACATTAAAATTACATTAAACATTAAATATCCATAAATATCCATTAAATAACATTAAACATGCAAACACATTAAAATAATGCATTATTTAAAGTTATTATAAAATAAATGTCAGTTTTTTTTAATATTACTACTATGCATTTAAAATTTACAATGCATGGCAGGCTATCTGGATATAGCAAATATACAACTAAATTCTATACTACATTAAACTTTAATTCTGATGTGATGATACAATGAACATATACATACTGTTTACAAAGAATTAAAATTACAGAAAAGTACACACACAGGATAAAATAGCACACTGCACTGACCTATGAATGAAAAAGAACAATGCTGCTAGGACATAAACTATAGTTTACAACCAAAGTGTCTGAGTTGACCCAACACATAAAGCCAGAAGCAAGTAAACCACATTATGACAGAAATGACAAATTTTGGAGAGGCTTTAGAGAGTGTTCCCAAGTCCTCTTGGGGATTACCTATGGCCTGAAGTCTTTGGGCAGACTTCCTACATTTATCCTGGTGGGCCAAAAGTGTTAGACTTTCACAAACATCCTTTCAGTACAAGATACTATAAGCCAGAAATATCATCTTACATTATAAATAGGAGGTAAAGTTGGAAGATGATGACTTGTCTAAAACTATCTGCCATACTAGCCAACAAGGAAGATTAGGGGGCTAAAGGCTAAAACGTATGAAGAACGGTGGCAGGAATTGGGATTGTCTAGTCTATTGAAAAGATGGATTAGGGTGACATGATAGCAGTGTTCTAATATTTGAGGGGCTGCCATGAAGAAGAGGGGATCAACCTATTTTCCAAAGCACCAGAAGGCAAGACAAGAAACAATGGATCACTAGATGGTTTTAAGAACAGTTTGGACAACCATTTGTCTGAAATGGTATAGGATTTCCTGCTTGAGCAGGGGGTTGTACTAGAAGACATCCAAAGTCCCTTACAACTCTTGTTATTCTGATTCCATGGTTAACATGACTAGCATTCATATGTGAATTCATGGCAGCACAAACGTTTGAATACCTGTAATATTTTTCTCTCTTCAGAGACTTAGTTTATGTTCCAGATTATTCAAGGTTTGAAAAACAATAGTCTGATTACTAGTTTGCACATTCAATCTAGGCTTAAACACAGAGTATAGATCAGTGCAAATTGATGCAAGCTTAATTTCTAGGAGCAGTCATTTTTTGGCGCCTGGGCTACTTGGCAGCAGACTTACTCCTTTGTGCAACAGGCAACTGTGTTGTTTGGGAAGAAGGTATGACTTAGAGATTTCACCCACTAAAGATCTGAAGCTCAACATTCTTGTGTTTGTAATCATTGAACAAGGAGCTTCCAAAGATATAAGCTTTGTTGCTTCTTTAATTAGTCTATCATATTTTTTTTTCTCTTTCAATCATGCTACCCACCATGGGAATGCTGAATTAATTTCTTCTACCACAGCAGTTTATATTTCCACCACCTGTTGAATATCTATATCATTAGGTAAATGAGTTGTATCCAGGATGCCAGAAAAAGAGCAAGACTACTAACCAAATACAGAGAAAGCATTCCTCCATTGGAGAATGTTGCCGTCTCATGCCCTTCAACAAAACTGTGCCACACCAAACAACATATGTTCTATCCAGCTGGCCTGCACAATCACCCTGAATGAAGATCCTCCAGCAGCTCAAAGGAGGGATTCAGCCTCTTTGGTCAGCTGCTTAGTTTTCATGATTCTAATTGAAGTTGACAAGGAGTCATGTTTTAATAACCTTTCCATGGTGTTTCTATCTCCAGGACTACAGAAACTGTGAAATGAAGAGATTATAAGCAAGGAAAAGGAATTTGGAGAGAGAAGAAGCAGTCCAGTTACAATTGAGTATATTTGTGGGGAAAACCTAGTATCAAATTAATGTTCAACTATGTAATTTAATGGCTTGCAAGGCATTTTCAGAATAGCCCATTCAGGACTGTATGAAAACCATTATGGATTATTTTTTCAAAAAGAGAAACATTGCCTTCAGTATCAGACAGCATCATGTGCAATGGAAAATCAGCTTAGATACAGGTCCTCCATCATAATTCATAGATTGTCCAACTGAATATCACAAAACCCAAAAGTCAAAACTTAAGATATTCCACTCCATAAATGCATTTCAAATTTCCAATGACTTGATTTTATTTTACTATGACTCCAGTCTCGTTTGTATATCTATACATGCTCTATGAGAATGAGGTGAACTATATTTATTCAAAGGAAGCCAAGTCTCATGGTTTCTTGTGAGAAGTGACTAAAATACTACAGCAATACAACAAATTTTCCAAGTAATCATCTCCAATGAACTTTAAGAATGATATACCACCAGATTAATTTCTCAACAAGATTTCCACATGAAGCTCTTTTTTCTAAAATGTGAAATTAAATTTACTATAAGCACCTAGTTGAAGTTACTGTAGCTCAGAAAAAAAACAATACTGTTCCAACAACTTTGGAACGGAGAAAAATTCTGTTTCAATTCCTCTTATATCAGACCAAAGGATTTCAGGCATTTGAAGGGAGAAAGCCTTTGGTCTAAGATCTTGGATAGATGCCAACAAATACTAGACTGAACAGGCAATGGTCTAAAAATAGTACAAATCCATTCCTTATATTCTAAAACCAATAGTTTAACACAAGAGAAAGCAACTTCTTATATCCCAGGTTCATTCAACTGACTTCTCCATTCTAATGAAGAAAAAAAAATGCAAATGCAGGCTTACCTTGACATCTTGTTCAAGGCTGTGGATGAGTTCTCCATCCACCTGGCCAGTCTGTGCAACACGAAGGCTGCGTCGCTCTGCTTTTCGCAAACGATACTGTAAGATACGACAAGTCTTACTAGCTTGATCCAGTTGTTGCCTTAACTCCTGTAGCTGATAGACATCTTCTTCCATGTAGACATCTCTCATCTCCAGCATCTCTGCACGTAGTTCCTCAATCTCATCCTGGGAAAGACAAACAGCGTGATCAAAGGAAGGGTAAGACAAGTAACCAAGCCTGCATCCTGGGAATACTGGGGAGTGGGAGTGAGTTGTGTATGAAACAGCTACAGTGCATTTATATGTATGTATTGATTATCTATTGATACAGATTATTGTATGTTAAAATGGATCAGGGGAATAGAACAAGTTTAGGTTGGTGCATTAACAATAATAATGATATTCTGCTTTGAAGGTCCTTCTCAGTTCAATAGAAAANAAATCTCTGTTTTGATAGAAGAGGAATCCAGAGAACAACCTCCACAAATCTATTCTGCGGTAGCACATTAAGTATTAATAGAGGTATGTAGCACTTCAATCTTCACACAAGGTCTCTCTATAATGTTTTATAACAAGGAAAGACACAACAACTTAAGGTGTTATTTTGCACTCCTGCATACTTCTAAACACCATTGGAAACGAACTCTTAAGCACTGCACAATCCTTTTATTTAAACTAACTGTAGAGCCTTTTCCTCTCAAATATTCAGAGTTGCAGATAAAATAGAATGTGTACACTATGCATAGTTAAGAATATAAATGCCATTCCACTAGTGTAAAATAAAATCTTATGTTGCATTATTTAAAAAATAAATAATATTTATCCTTTACTGTTTGTACTATTTTTTCTTCATGTGAGTCCTTTGTAGTGAAGTTTGCAAAGATCAAATCAAAACAGATTTTCTCAACTACATCTGATATGTTCCTGCCTGTGAATAATTCATGTTAAAGATGAAGAAGTTCAGAGAACTGTTTCTCTTCTCTGGAAGGAAAGGGCCACATGCACACAGTGGTATTATTGATGTAATTCTGGCACGGAGTGCCACAACTCCAACAATATAACATCAGTCACTTGTATAGAAAGGCAAAGTGTAGATAAACAAGCACTAAGAAAAATTGCTCACACTCCAGATCTCCAACTATAACATTTGGGCAAAAGGCAAAATTAATGAAAGAAAAAAGACAGGGTTGGAGAGGAGAAATCCCAAATGGAAGCCTCTGAAACTAGCATGCACAAGAGATCAGCCTGCCAAAGCCAATCCAACTAATTAGTTTTAGGAGATTAGAAAGAAATAAAATTACAGTATGTAAAACTTGCAAAGGGCTAGGCAGATGGTACTCCAAGGAAAAAGTGACATCACCAATCGGGGGGGGGGGCTCAATAATCCTGCTTAGCTTTTGGGATCACCAAGATCAGACAGGTGCTGCCACCTAACAATGGACATACCACTCTTTGTTACTGTAAACTGAAATTTGATTCCAAAATGTCTTCCTTGTACTGGTGTCAGAAAACCATATATTCACAAGACAGATGATTCCACAATGCACAGGAGAATATGAAAGTCTTCTTGTTTGTGCTCTCTCCAGTTCAGATGCCTGTTGCTAGTAATACAAGCATTATTGCTGGTATCCCAGTGTCTATTATTCCTGGCAGCAGTTCTCAAACTAGAAGACAGAACTTTTCTAGCTATTTCCTCTATTGATTCGCTACATTCCTTGTTCCTTCTGAAAGATGTGCTAATTTTTTGTACATTTGCCCTTGAAAGGTGGGAGCAGTTAAATTACCCCCTCCCATTTCTTTGGATTAATGGTTTATCTGCTTATGATCTGCAGAAGGAAGCCAATCAGAGCAATATCCATCAGATATAGCCTGTGTATTGAGCAAGTGAACAAAGGATCAAGGGTTTTCCAAACCAGCCTCCCAGTCAGCCTGTCACATTCAATCATGACATGAGGCATTACCTCAAAGAATATGATGAGTCCTCTGGGAGATCCCATCAAAATGCAATTACAGAAAGTATTGCTTGTTTCATATCATTTTGTGCTAACTTGCAATCTTATGTAAACAAAGGAAGATCTAAACAGTTTTTCAAACAGAAGCAGTTTACATAATTTATGGGATAAATTTGTGCAAATGCATGAACAAAGCACAGCACTGTTTTATGCTTATCAAACATTGATTTCTGGCTTTAAAAAATGAAGTAAAATGACATGGGAACAATTGTTCAATTTCTTTTTGAGTCATTAGCACAATTTTTGAAACAACTGTAACTCTATGGCACTAAGTGTTCAGATTTACAATGTTTAATGCAAGTGGAAGCATTAATACAGCATGCAAAATCTCCAAATTTAAATATTTTGTATTAGTTAGCAAATATATACAATATGCACAATTTAAAGAGGTATTTCTCTTTAAATTATCAAAGATAATGACCAGAAAATTTGATTTGATACGGAGGTCTGCTGAAGTTAAACATGTGTTACAACATCACAAGACAAACAGAATATGCTTCTCATGTTCTTCCATATGATATGGGGGTACAATAACAAAAGGGCAGAACTTACATTGTGATGTTTTGGCATTGCTTATCATTCATCATGGTTAGGAACAAACATTTATGACAGTGAGCAAATGTCAAATTCTTCTTTTTGAACAGCTGTTATGATTTTGTAGCAACTCCAGCTGTTCATGTAATATATACTGTGAACTTTAATATAATGGGCCTTTTCTTTAATCAATCTCACTTCTTACTTGAAAGCAAAATATGCATCACACATATTAATATTGTGCATCACTAAAGTGCTTCAAAATGGGAAAGCATTGTTTTGTTCCTCCCTATTACAGATTTACATTTAAAAAAGACATTGGCTTTTTGGTGTGCTTTCAAACTATAACATCTTAGATCGCTATCTCTTAAAAGAATAGCTCTGATTTCTCTTGCAGAAATATTCCCTGCACAATTCAAGAAAAAAAAATCTCAAATGTTCATGCATTCAGCCATAATATAGTTTGTTTTTTGTTTGATGTGATGAGTGAATCTAAATATAATAATATTCTGTAGTATTATGTGGAAACCAAGCTATATTGGTTTATTCAACAATCTAGATTTTAAAATCTGGGTTAGTGTTATATGAAAATGTAATCAATGTCTAAGAATGGAGCAAAGGTAGATTTTGCACACTCACTTATGAAGGCAACAATATTTTGGGAGCTATTTCCATTTAAGATTGAGAAAAATATTTGTTTCTAATAGTCTGTAGCTTCATTACATGAAGAAAAAAGTAGCAGCAATCTGTCAGCATTACAGAACACTTTTCCTCACATCCCCAATCATGTGTTCTCCTCCCATTTTCCTCCTGCAGCATTCCTGGGCCATAATTCAAAAATGAGGCTGGCAAGTTGCTGCTCTCTTATCAGGGCAGGAGCAGCAGTTTCTGCTGTGCTGCTTTCAGGAAATTAAGAGGCAGGAGCCCAATTCTCTCCTCTTGTATCATTTTATACTGGAAAACATTAGTTTCCTGCTGGATCATCTTGATCTGGCTTTAGCCTGCCTCAGAAACAAGTTGGCCACAGAAGGGTATGTCCCTAATCACTGGCAAATGGTCCCTCCAGAACCAGGGCAACAGGGCTAAAAGGATGACCCTTTGTTAAGCACTAAGCCATTTAAGTAGAAAGCAATACAAAAAAAATGTATCTAAGCATTATTTAAGTAAATAATTAAATAAAGACCTTACTACTGGAAAATGTCCAAATTCCACTGTGCAATATCTTGTTTATCTTGGCATCCCTTTTTGGGCATCTTTGTGGTATCTGCAGGGTCCAACATTTAACACATTCACGTGTGCAGCAGCCATTATTATTATGTTTGCCTGCCTACTTATGATGTAAATCAAAACATCCGAAAAGGTCCAATAGTTCTTAGGGAAACGTCTGTATGAAGGTTTTCGAATGGTCCCAGTTCATGGGTAGAAGCTAAGTAGAACTGCAATTAGGCTTACTACCTTACATTGATTGCCCTTGAAGAGCATGCAATGGTAAATATAACACCACTGCTTCATGTATTATATTGCCCCCTGGCAGATTTTCTGATATGATTCAAGAGGTAGTTGTCACCTTTAAATCCCCACATGGCATGGGGCCAGGCTACTTGCAGAATTGTCTTTCTCCAATGGTTTCTGCCAGTCTCACCAGATCAGGCCGAGCAAGTGACATGAAACAATGTCACTTGGGGAGCCCTAGGAAGCATGTCATGGCATTTGTCTAATGCAGGCATGTCAAACTCGCAATGTCACGTGACGTCGTGCAATGTATCAGGACTTTTTCCCCATTGCCGGCAATGGGGTGGGTGCAGTTTCGGCATGACACATCCGGCCCGTGGGCCGGCAGTTTGACATGCCTGGTTTAATGGAATAGAATCTCCCCCTGAGATGCTGTTCAGACATTCCCTACTCTGTTGGCCTTCCAAACAGGCATCAATATTTGGCTATTTCCCCAAGCATTGGGACCAGGGTGTTAACTGTTTGTGATTTTGTTTTTACCTTTGTTTATGGCTCAGGGTTCCTTTGGTAGATAGACAACTATATAAATAAACTGTCAGAGATGCAATTTTTTCAGAAAAATTATAATCTTCATTTTAAAGTCAACCAGCTACTGGGAAACTGAGCTTACTCTTCAGAGCTACCTCTTTATACCAGTCACCTAGCATTAGAAAAATCTCAACTCTGTCTTGCTTCTTACCAAAACACACTGGGGGCATCATATGATGCTTTGTTTTTATAGATGCATACAGGATCGTTTTGTTGTTCTATTTCAGAAAAGGTGAAAGATGGTGGTACTTCCAAACTTCTCACTGTGAACAAGATTCCAAAGAAACTGACTGCTTCTAGCTGATGAGGAAATCAATATATATGTAGCAAGCAACCTGTGGTTCCAAGACCACCCATGCAAAATCAAATATTGGGAAAACAGAGGTAGGGGTAAGCCGTGAAAATATGTGACTAACCTGATATTAAAATATGATTGTCTAGAATATTTCAAAATCCCTTCAGATTCTTTTAGTTGAAGATGCCAGCAATTGGGAATAGGGCATTAGCAATTTGGGAGGTCCTTGGTGCTTTCTGAGTTTGGTTGTTTTCTTGCAGATGTTTTATTACCAAACTAGGTAACATCATCAGTG